ACTTTACACAGAGAGTGATTAAAATGCGGCATTCGCTGCCAGAGGATGTAGGGATGGCCATGGGAATAAGCAGCTTTCAATGGGGCTTGGATAGCCTGGGTGGCTGAGGGGAGCCTCCCCATTCAGAGGCACTGAGCCTCTGGATAGAGATGTGAAGGCCCGGAAAAAAACCGGAAAAATTGAGAAAAGAAAAGAAAAGAGAAAAAATTGATTATGGAACGTTTTATTTTAACATGATGAACAAAATATTTTAAGACAAGGTGTTCAAATATTTTCCAAATCATTTATATATATATATGGTATCAGATTGATCTAATTTCTGTGCACTGAGGACAAGCAAGTCCTAGGTTACAAACTGAACTCTCCAATGCAAGAACAAGATGCATTTCTTCCTTTAGGAGGTGCTATTGTCACGAGAAAAGAAAAAGGTTTCAGTTTTGTTTTTGCATGTGGGCGGGTAGTCTGTTTGTAATAACTGTTTGGACACACTGTATTTTTAATATGCTAGTTGTGATAATTTCATGCCAAGTAAAAATGTCCATAGTCATATTTTATGTTCCTAAAGTAACAGAATGACTTTCAATCTAGAAAAGACAAAAGAAGTGCTAATGTAGCATTTTTTTTCAATTTTTCCGAAAATTTCCGTTTTCCCCCTGAAAAAAACTGGGGGGGAAACGTGTTTTTTTCCCGAGCTTCAAAATTTCCAGAAATTTTACATCTCTACCTCTGGATCCCAGAGCCAGGAGGCAACATCAGGGGAAGGCTTCAGCCTCTATGCCCTGTTGTTGGACCTCCAGAGGAACTGGCTGGCCACTGTGTGAGACAGAATGCTGGATTAGATGGACCCTCACTGGTCAGATCCAGCAGGGCTCTTCTTATGTTCTTAAGAGGGGAAGGCCTTGGCCTCTCTGCCCTGTTGTTGGCTCTCCAGAGGAACTGGTTGGCCACCATGTGAGACAGGATGCTGGACTGGATGGACCCCCGCTGATCTGATCCAGCAGGGCTAGATGGCCATCTGACAGCAATGCAGATTCTGTGAACTTAGGCAGATCGTGACAGGGAAGGCAGAGAGAGTTGCATCAGTACTTAGTTCCCGTGGCCAATGCTCCCTCTAAGCTGTGGAGTCCTGTGAGCAAAAAAAATCAACTTTGTGAGCCACCGGCATTAAAGCTGTGAGCGAGCGATTTGGCTGCTGCATCAATTAGTTTGCTCTGGAGCCCTCCTTCCTGAGCGAAGACAAAAAGGTGTGAGCCGGAGGCTAAAAAATTGTGAACTAGCTCACACTAACTCATCTTAGAGGGAGCACATTGCAAGATGCCTACTTTTTTATGGGGCGGTGATTTGTGGCTCCCAGAGTGCTCGGTGCAGGTTGAAAACTTGCTCAGCTAAGATTCTCTCTGCTTCTCGACAATGCCTGGAAATGCTCACCAGAAATGCCAACGTGGATATCTTTAAGTTCCTCTGAAAGGCGGAGGGAAGTTCTTGCTTCTGCTGAGATGGGGAACGACGACAACAGTTTGGTGTTGTGGTGAAGTGCGCGGACTCTAATCTGGGAGAACCGGGTTTGATTCCCCACTCCTCCACTTGCACCTGCTGGATGACCTTGGGCAAGCCATAGTTCTGTCAGAGCTGTTCTTGAAAAAGAGCAGTTTCTGTCAGAGCTCTCTCAGCCCCGCCTACCTCACAGGGTGTCTGTTGTGGGGAGCGGGAGGGAAAGGAGTTTGTACGCTGCTCTGGGTAGTGAAGGGCAGGGAATAAATCCAATCTCTTTTTTTCTTCTTCTTCTTCCAGTTCCTTGTAATGTTGTGAGACCGTCCAGCGGGAGAGGGCTTAATATCACGTTAACAACCGTTTGTGTTTACCGGTTGAGAACCTTTAGTCCGCGGCACTCAATACAGATTATCAAGCTTTGGCTTTCTGGGAAGGGACGCCGTGGAGCGCATGAAAAAGCTTAAAAGCTCGAGTGTCAATTCGACAAAAGCCCGCGGGTCAAGCCACTCTGTCACTCACCAGCTTTCCCGCTCCTCGCTTCCTTTCGCGAGGGGTTGATCCCGGGGCTCGGTCTGCCGTGCCCGCGGCGCACCGAGCGGCATAAATAGCATCCTGCGCCCGCGTATGAAAGCACTCAGCGAAATCGGCATGGGGAGCGCGTCTTGGAAGGTTAGGGAATAAAAGCAGTGAGGGCAGCGACGCGGAGGTCTCCCGTTTTAGCCGTCTGCCGGATGAGGGTGACGGGCCCTTTCCGAGGAGATCTAGAGGCAGCACAGAGACGTGCCATGCTCCGCTTCCCCGGTGCCGCGCATGCTTCCTCTAGAGGAAACGGATAGAGCGTCAGGGTCAGGGGGGAGCAAGCTCTCTGCTAATTGCTGCAAAGTACTGGCGAATGCACGTCGAGCTGCCTTATACTCAATAATCAAGGTTGGTATTGTCTACTCTGGCTGGCAGCTGCTCTCCGGGGTCTCGGGCTGAGGTCTTTCCTGTCTCCTAGATCCTTTTAACTGGAGATGCCAGAGGTTGAAGCTGGGACCTTCCGCATGCCAAGCGGAGGCTCTGCCACTGAGCCACAGCCCCTCTTCACAGCCCTCCAGGGTCTCAGGTGGAAATCTTTCCCATCACCTGCTGCCTGGTCCTTTCAACTGGAGATGCTGGGGAATGAGCCATGGCCCCTCTTCACAGCTCTCCAGGGTCTCAGGCTGAGGTCTTCCCCATCACCTGCTGCCTGGTCCTTTTTAACTGGAGATGCTGGGGATTGAACCTGGGACATCCTCCATGCCAAGCAGATGCTCTGCCAATGAGCCACAGCCCCTCCCCAGTGGAGGTGAGTAACGCCAGTCCATCGGTGCAGATTGCGGGAGGCCGCTCTGGCTTCTCCTCCCCAGCGCTAGACACGGAGGAGCCGTTGGCAGAGGTCCTGGGAGTTAATCGGGGCATCAGTCAAAAGGACGGCTCGCTTTCTGCTAAAGCAATTATTTGCCGAAGGGCACAGGTGTGTTCCGGGATGCTCATATGCAGATTAGGGCACATTTTGGAACTGCTGAAGGAAAGACGTTTGCGGCACAGGAGGATCAGTCAGTTTGAGCCAAGAACCACACAGGAAAACGAGGAGGGCAATCCCTCCCTGTCTGGGTTGCATTAAGGTGTTGCAGAACGGCGAGTGGAAACAGATTACGGCCAGACTGGTACTGGGTTGAGGATGTGATCACTTGTCATCAGTGCAATGAGATCAGGCTTGGTTTATGTGGCATTGGAGCTACGTGGATTACGGGGAAAGGCATTTGTTGGGGGCAGATAAGAGGTATGCAGGGTTAACAAACTCCTTGGGAAGAGGCAGTGGCTCAGTGGCGGGGCCTCTGCTTGGCATGCAGAAGGTCCCAGGTTCAGTCCCCGGCATCTCCAGTTAAAAGGACCGGGTAGGAAACGATTTGAAAGACCTCTGCCTGGGACCCTGGAGGGCTGCTGCCATTTTGAGTCGACGAGACTGATCCGATAGACTATGGGTGGCTCTTTCCTACCTATTGTGCGGCTCCTGGCAGGGCGGCTGGGGAAGCGAAATATCATTAGCAAACAAATGAATATCATTAGACAAATAAATATTACCAGTATCTGCTTTTACCCCTTTTGTTAATTATTTTCGGCAGTCTCACTCAATGTTAATAAAAAGCAAATCTGCATATTTTCCAGTAAATGTGTGCGCGCAATATTTGTCCACGTCCCGCGGCTCTCAAACGTCTGACTTTTATTCTATGTGGCTCTTTCATTAAGCAAGTTCGGCCACCCCTGTGGTAGACCAACGGCCCGATTCAGTATAAGGCAGCTTCACGTGTAGTTTGCTAAAGATGTGCGGGGGAAAAGGTATTCAGAAGGCCTGTTGGGTTAATAGAACTCATATGCTCAGGTCTGCCAAACTGGCCTGTTCTTTGTTTCAAGCATCCAGTATCTTATCCCACGGACGGTAATGGAAAAATCAGACCACCCGCACTTAGAGTTTCCTCTCTGTGCATGCTAATTGTTTGCGTTGTATTCCACGGGGCCACGGCGTCATCCGTTTCCCTCCCCCCAGTGAATTTTATTTTATTTTCAGAATATAACATATCACAGCAAAGAACATAACATAATGAAAAAAACAAAGCTGGGTTTGATATATTAATACAGTCTACTAGCGTTATTTGAATGCTCTTACATATCACATACCTTATTGCTTACATCGGCTTATAAACAGGTTGGTAGCATTAGTAAAAGGCGCTGCGGTGGCTCAAGTGGTTAAGATGCTGAACTGTAGGCTGTGGACGGTCGGTAGTTCAGCAGTTCGAGACCCGGGTGCCGCATGACGGAGTGAGCTCCCATCTCTGGTTCCAGCTCCTGCCAGCCTAGCAGTTCGAAAGCAAGAAATTGCAAGTAGATAAATAGGCACCACTTCGGTGGGAAGGTAACAGCGTTCCGTGCGCCTCAGTGTTTAGTCATGCCGGCCACGTGACCACGGAAACGTCTTCGGACAGCGCTGGCTCTTCGGCTTGGAAACGGAGATGAGCACCGCAACCCTAGAGTCGGATCCAACTGGCTTTCGAGCAAGGGAACCTTACCTTTTACCTAGCATTAGTAAATTAACAGTACGTTCAGAAGCAGAGCCAGTATTTATCCTTAACAAAAGAGGGAGCCACTTCTTTTTCTGAAAGGAACTGAATTACTGGGAACCACTTACACACAGAGGGTGTTTGATAATCCTCGTCCGATGGATTAGCTATTCCGTTTGCTGTTTCCCCCATAATGAATTGCATCCAAAGCTTGTCATACCACAAACCTAGAGGAAGGCTTGATTTCCACCTAGCAGCCATGCTGTGTCTGGCTGCAGCAATAAATATGGAGATTCTTTCTTTCTTTTGTTTTGGAGGAGAGGATTCCGGCCATAATTCCAGTAGGAATAACCCCGGGGTAAACGGGATCGTCTGGTTAATCATCCGTCTTGTAGCCGCGGCCTATTTCCTTCCAAAAATCCTGGATAAAACCGCGTCATCCATTTCCTTTCCTCCCCCAGGTGCACCCTCCGATTCCCCAGCACCGTCATCAAGATCCAGTTCACATCATTCTACCATAAACAGGAAGTCAAGGAAGACGCCTCATCGCCCCCGCTCCGGCCGCTCTACCCTCAGATATCGCCTCTCAAGATCCACATCCCGGAGCCGGATCTCCGGAGTTTGGTCAGCCCGCTGCCCTCCCCCACAGGCACCATCAGGTGAGACGCTTCTTTCCGTTCTACGCACCCGGTGTCGTGGTTTGCACCGTTGCCGGCCTGCAAGTTGCCGGTGTGCTTCCCAGAAAGGGGGTGGATGTCTGTCTTCAGGCATCCATCCATATTATAGCTTTGGGGAAAGTGCAGAAAAGGGCAACTAGAATGATAAAAGGGTTGGAACACTTTCCCTATGAGGAAAGGTTAAAGGGCTTGGGGGTCTTTAGCTTGGAGACACGACGACTGAGGGGTGACACGATCGAGGTTTATAACATTATGCATGGGATAGAGCAGGTAGAGAAAGAGGTACTTTTCTCCCTTTCTCACAATACAAGAACTCCTGGTGGGCACTCCATGAAATTGCTGAGCGGTCGGGTTAGAACAGATAAGAGGAAGTACTTCTTCACTCAAAGAGTGATTAACACTTGGAATTCACTGCCACAGGAGGTGGTGGCGGCTACAAGCATGGACGGCTTCAAAAGGGAATTAGATAAGCATATGGAGCAGAGGTCCATCAGTGGCTATTAGCCACAAGGTATAGATAGGGGCTCTGGGGCAAGTGATGCTCTGTCTTCTTGGTGCTTTGGGGGGGGGCAAGAGTGGGAGGGCTTCTAGTGTCCTGGCCCCACTGGTGGACCTCCTGATGGCACCTGGTATTTCTGGCCACTGTGTGACACAGAGTGTTGGACTGGATGGGCCTTTGGCCTGATCCAACATTGGCGTCTCTTATGTTCTTATGTTCTTATATATGGAACTAGCAATGGCGGTCATCATTGGGGAGGTGAGGCAGGTGGGGCTGAGAGAACTCTTTTGAAGACTGCCCTTGAGAGAACAGTTCTGTGAAAACTTGTGACTGACCCAAGGCCACCCCAGCAGCTGCATGCGGAGGAGTGGGGGGAATCAAACCCGGTTCCCCCAGATTAGAGTCCGCGCTCCTCACCCCGACACCAAACTGGCTCTCTTGTGCTGTGGTGGCAGCTGCTGCCAAAGCAACTTTTAAAAAGTCTGTGCCTCCAGTCAGAAGCCCCGCCGGCCAAAAGCGCCACTTGGCCCCGTCCAGTTTCTAAAAACACTCAGTCGGCACCAGGAAAGGTGTTGGTGGGCGCCACGTTGGGGACCCCTGTTCTAGTCTTTGGGAACTTCTAAGGAGGAGCAGTTTGTTAGAGAAAGGCTGGTGCCTGGTTAATGCTGTCTCTTGGGATGCACGCTAATGTGGGGAGAGCTGCTCTTTAACCATTCATCTTGCCGAATTGCACTAATCTCTCGCCTTGAAAATCCACGAGGTGGGACTCCTGGGGTCCTTGTGAGTCAGTCGCAACCAATGTTCCCTCTAAGCTGAGTTAGTGTGAGCTAGCTCGCAGTTTTTTAGCCTCCGGCTCCCACCTTTTTGTCTTAGCTCAGGAAGGATAGATCCAGAGCAAACTAATTTATGCAGTAGCCAAATCGCTTGCTCACAGCTTCAATGTCAGTAGCTCACAAAGTAGAATTTTTGCTCACAAGACTCCACAGCTTAGAGGGAGCATTGGTCGCAACCCGACAGCACGCTTTGCCGTTAACTGTTGACATGCGCTGGCACACTGCCTCTGAACATGGAGGCGAGTTACAGCCTTTGATACCCTCCCTGAACGTCAGTCTCCTTTCAAGAAGTGGCCTGAGGTTGCAGCTGTTATCTTGTGGTGACGGATTTCGCACGTTCTTAGACCTGTCTGATGTGGTGGTTAGGAGCATGGACTCTAATCTGGGAGAACCGGGTTTGATTCCCCACTTTTCCACGTGCAGCTTGTGGTGTGACCTTGGGTCAGTCACAAGTTCTCTCAGAGCTCTTCTGGAAAGAGCAGTTCTCTCAGCCCCGCCTACCTCGCAGGGTGTCCGTTGTGGGGAGGGGAAGGGAAAGGAGATTGTAAACCGCTCTGAGACTCCTTCGGGTAGTGAAGGGCGGGGGTATAAATCCTCCTCCTCCTCCTCTTCTTCTTGCAACAATTTTTCCATGTTCTTTATCTGTAGCGGTCCTTTCCTTTTCTGCGCCCTGAACGTTGTTCAGCTCCATTTCTTTGTGGGCGTGGGTTCCAAATCCTTTTTTGAAGCCGTGAAGCTCACTGAGTAGTCTTGGGCAGGCTGTTGGCCCTTCGGCTAAAAATGGAATCACCCCACTTGTGCGAAATGTCATAAAGAAGAAGAGAAGAGATTGGTTTTACACCCCGCCCTTCACTACCCAAAGGAGTCTCAGAGCGGCTTACAATCTCCTTTCCCTTCCCCTCCCTGCAACAGACACCCTGTGTGGTAGGTGGGGCTGAGAGAGTTCTTACAGAAACGGCTCTTTTTCAAGAACAGCTCTTATCAGAACTATGGCTTGCCCAAAGTAATCCAGCCAGGTGCAAGTGGAGGAGTGGGGAATCAAACCTGTTTCTCCCAGATTAGAGTCTGCGCCAGTTTGGTGTAGTGGTTAAGTGCACGGACTCTAATCTGGGAGGACCGGGTTTGATTCCCCATGGTGCCTGGTTAATGCTGTCTCTTGGGATGCACGCTAATGTGGGGAGAGCTGCTCTTTAACCATTCATCTTGCCGAATTGCACTAATCTCTCGCCTTGAAAATCCACGAGGTGGGACTCCTGGGGTCCTTGTGAGTCAGTCGCAACCAATGTTCCCTCTAAGCTGAGTTAGTGTGAGCTAGCTCGCAGTTTTTTAGCCTCCGGCTCCCACCTTTTTGTCTTAGCTCAGGAAGGATAGATCCAGAGCAAACTAATTTATGCAGTAGCCAAATCGCTTGCTCACAGCTTCAATGTCAGTAGCTCACAAAGTAGAATTTTTGCTCACAAGACTCCACAGCTTAGAGGGAGCATTGGTCGCAACCCGACAGCACGCTTTGCCGTTAACTGTTGACATGCGCTTCCCCGGTTTCGTATCCCATTTCACTGGAAGCCACGTCTAGCCAAACAAAACCTTGCTCCGGCTCTCGGGTGGAAATCTCCCTCTGGGATCGGCTGCAGGCGCTAAGCCACGCCTCTTCCCCTCCTTGCACCAGGAACCAGTTTTTACCCAGCCTGCCCGAAAAAAACGAAAACAAGGCGACCAGTCACGGCCCAGCTAGAAGGGGAAAGGCGTCCGTTGTTGTTGTACGTCAGGCTGCCAAGTGTGTTTACTCAGTGTGCAGAAATGCAGGTCCTGCCGCAGGATTCACTGTTGACATCCACTGGCCTGCCTCATTGTGGGAAGAGGGCCCCCCCCCCAGCCTCTAGAGGGGAAGTCAACTAAGCAAAAATGGCCTTTCACGGTTCAAGGCCCGCAGGAGTGCTTTGTGGAAGGAGGAGAGGAAAGGGAGGGCGTTCTCTTTTCAGTCTTTCTTAGAAGCGGCAGTTGCGGTTTTCAATCGCTGCAAGGAGCCAGATTCGGCGGGGAGGGGCCAGCCTGTGGCGTCAGGTACTCATGCCGTCGTTTGGGAGGTGGAGGGGCCCATACGCGGCGACATCTTGTGCCTTTTACCGATACCATTTGCAACCTTTAGCACGAAGGGGAAGTGGGCGATAATTGCCCTGACTCCTCCTGCCCGGTCCTGCGGTGGTACGGTTTGCAAGACGCTCGCCGCTCTGAGCATCCGGTTGGGGCTTTGTAACAGCAGATCGCTCTTGAGTTTCTTGGAAAACCTCAAAAGGCTTTTGAGGCTTCTGTGTTGTTTGTTCTCTCGGCCGGGCCTTTTCATTCTCAGTTCCTTGTCGGTTCTGTTTGTAAACACTCCCTTCCGCGCCACACGGCTTGCGGGCCAGCGCCCGGCTTCCTTTTCTCAGAAAGCGAATGAAGCCTGTTGCCTTTCAGAGATTTCAGGAAGGTCCCGGATATGCCAGAGACTCTTTAACGTGCAAAGCTGTTACACCAGGAAAGCAGGAGAAGCCCTTTCAAGAGCTAGGGACTGACCGCAGGAATCAGCTTGCATTAAAATACAATGGAAAATTTAAAAACATTGCAACAGGGAAAACAGTGCTGCGTTTGCATAGTCCTTTTTTTATATATACACTGCTTTTTTCAGGCACATCAAGGGCTGCGTACAGTGCCGTCTCAGTAGATGTCGCAATAACAGCGATGCTATCCCCAACAACCCGGCGAAAAGCCGAGGCCCGCAACTGACGAGCCCCGTAAAAGCGTTGGTGATGCAGTTGAGATTTGAAACTGAGTCATCCCTGATGCTGCCTTCGCTCTTGCACCATCCAGCGTCTTCGTGGTGCAAGATTTATCTATTTTATTTGTTTTATTTTTTTTTTAATTGCATCATTTATAGCCCGTCTTTCTCACAGGGTCTCAGTGCGAATTAAACATTGTTGAATAGCTCAGTCGACGGAAAGCCAGAAGAGGGAAAGCTTTTCCGAACTCCTCGGGCCTTCATTTTAAAACGCAGGACATTATTTCATCCTCGTTGGCTGTGTCTGTTGCCCCTCACTCATCGCCTTGTTGGGGGGCTCTGATGTGGGACTGAGACGGAAAAGGTGAAACTAGGCAGAGGGCTGTTCACTGCCACAAGAAGTGGTGGCGGCTACAAGCACAGACAGCTTCAAGAGGGGATTGGATGAATGTCTGGAGCAGAGGTCCATCAGTGGCTATTAGCCACAAGGTAGAGATGGAACACTCTGTCTGGGGCAGTGATGCACTGGTGGGAGGGCTTCTAATTTCCTGGCCCCACTGGTGGTCCTCCTGATGGCACCTGGTATTTCTGGCCACTGTGTGACACAGAGTGTTGAACTGGATGGGCCACTGGCCTGATCCAACATGGCTTCTCTTCTGTTCTTATGTCTGGGGCAGTGATGCTCTGTCTTCTTGGTGCTTGGGTGGCCACAGTGGGAGGGCTTCCGGAGTTCTGGCCCCACTGGTGGACCTCCTGAGGGCCCCTGGGTTTTGGCCACTGTGTGACACAGAGTGTTGGACGGGATGAGCCCTTGGCCTGATCCAACATGACTTCTCTTATGTTCTTATGTCTGGGGCAGTGATGCTCTGTCTTCTTGGTGCTTGGGGGGGGCAAC